TTATTATTATTTTTTAAAGTTTGACCAGAGGGAGACAGAGAGAAAGAGAGAGAAATGTAGAATGGCACCGAAGGAACGGCCTCCCAAGCTGGAGTAAGGTTAAAGGGAGTCTTTTTCAGCTGGCCAGCGGCTACAGCCTGAGGTTCGGGGGCCGAGAGTCAGAACTGTAGACCCGTCCAAAGTTGGAGTAGTCTTTTTATAGGGGTCAGTTACCAGGGGTTTCTATGCAAGCAGTTACAGATGCTGAATCAAGCAGGTTAATTATTTCTGAGGGGAGTGGCATTTCCACGCAAGAGTTCCATTGCTAAACAAAAGGGTCTCGGGCTAGTTAGCAAAGACATAGCAGGTACAAGATGTTGTCCCGGATATGGTTTTCTGTATGGCTAGCAGGAGCTATTTTCTCATGGGAAGAGCAAGCAGGTTTATAGAAGCAGACAGCCCTGTGAGGGTGCGGGGACAAAATGGACGAACAGTTGTTTATGTGCAAGATCTAATATGTGGCCTTCCACAGAGAGTGAAAAAAGAAGCCAGCAGGTCCAGGAATTGAACTGTGGTCAACTCTAAGTGAGTCCAGCTCTATAACTACCATGCCACCTGCCAGCCCTGCCATGACATAATCTTATACTTTATGATGGACGACTCTGGACTTGTTCTCTCTCATTTCAATCTCTCCTAGGGAAAATGATGTTGGTAAGGAGGTCACTTTGATGGAGAGGGCTGTTTCTGGGCTTCCCCCATACTGTGCTGCATTTAGCTAATTGAGCTAGTTCTCCCGAGGTTGTGTGTGTGTGTGTGTGTGTGTGTGTGTGTATGTGTGTGTGTTTGCTTGCTTATGTGTGTACATACAATAGAATACATGGCTAGGGTCTTCAGAAAAGGGCCAAATTTGGGCATGCTTAGGAGTGGAAAGAACAAGTCTTTGAGTAGAGAACATCGCTTCAGAGATTGCCTACTTCCTGCTTTGAAGGACAGTAGGTCTAAAGGGAGTTCTGCAAAGACAGATGTCTTTTATCTCAAAGATCCTGACAACCCACATCTTGCCAGCACCATGACCGGAGGAAGACATAACTATCTAATTAAGTTTTTATTTATTTATTAAGGATCTCGAGCATTGTAATTTTGGTAACATCTCTAAAAGTTAGGAAAGGGAACTAAAGACCATTGGATGAATGGGTGAGGAGACCTCAGAAAGTTCATGGGAAATGGAATTGAAATATGAGTTTATTTTAGTGCAGACAAATTTTGAAATCCATACACAGCTTTTTTTCTTAATATGTATTTTCCATGAGCTCTTTGAAGATATTGCATATAATTAAAAAAGAAAATGGTCAAATGGCAATTGTTTCGGTGTTAGAAAATACATCTCGGGATTATTGATTAATTTATTCTCCAGTTATTTTGTGATCAGTGGTATGAAATACCTTCGTATTAGTGTTCATCAGATATGTAGAGAAAAGAGATGGTCCTTGACTTACAATGGTTTCATTTACAGTTTTTTTTTTTTTACTTTACTGCTATTTTTTCAAGATGTAACCCCATCATAAGTTGAGGAACACCTTATGACTTATAATGGGGTTGCCATTTCTACTGAATGTATATAATTTTTGCACCATTGTAAAATTGCAAGAGCACAAATCAAAGCATTGTTAGTTGAGTCATGTACCATTATGTGCATTTTGATATTTCCACTTGTGATGGGTTTATCAGGCTGACACTCCAGTGTAAGTTGAGAAGCAGGTGTGTAAGGAACTGGCTCATAGGATTATGGAGACTGAGGTCCGTGATCTGCAGGGTGAAAGTGGACAAGATGGAGAGACAGTGGAGAGCCAGCGTTCGGTTGGAGAGCCAGCAGGCACGAGCCTTAGGAATAGCTCATGTTTTAATTTGAGTCTGAAGGTCAGAAAAGGCCAATGTCCCCAGTCTAGCAGCCAGGCAGGAGAAGTTCCCTTTAGTCATGGGAAAGTCAGTCTTTTTGTTCTGTTCCGGACTTCAGCCGATTGCATGAGCCCCATCCACAGTAGGGAGAGTGATCTGCTGTACTCAGTCTACTTGCTTATGTTAGTCCTATACAAAACACCCTGACACACACATCCAGAATAGTATTTGACCAAATAGCTGGGCATCCAGAGGCTCTGTCAAGTCGACACACAATTAACCCTCCCAACTTTCATGTGGGATTTTCAGGATTTCCCTGAAGATGTAGGTAGTCATGCCAGGAGATGGTAGGGGTTGGCTTGGAATTTAATCCAGTGACGCATCAGAAAAGGAGGGGCTTGTGCAAGCCACAAGACTTGAAAAGCTCCATGAATGAGGTGACCAAGAACCCAGAACAAAGAGTCTACTTGGAACACAGGAGTGTAGTTCATGAAAATACCCCAACCTGGTCAGCAACTGTGGAGGATCCAGAAAGGATCACTAGGCCCCTCAAGGCCAGGAGCTAAGAAGGGAAAGAAGAGATGGGAGAATCAAGCTGGCACCACCAGAAATACACTGCATCAAAAATTCCACTCATTGGGGACCAGCAGTTAGCATAATGGCTATGTCGCTGGACTCCCATGTAGTCGACTGCAGTTCGAGTCCCAGACCCAGTGGCTTAAACTCACGCCGGGCGCGTGTGCATGTGTGCCCAAGATCCCATGAGGAGAATGGAGGAGAAGGGATTGCGGCGTGGCCATCCCCTCTGGGGGGTGATTTCTCGCTTTCTATCTCTCTCTGTCTCTCTCTGTCTGTCTGGCGAGCGCACGCACCCTATAGCAAAAACCTCTCCAAAAAAAAAAATTCCACTCATGACGACCACCACCCCCCCCTCTATCCCAGAGCCTGTTGAACGTGCAGGCTCCAGAGCCCTACCCAGGAGAGTTGGCCTCGGTAATGCTGGGTGTGACCTTGGGTTCTGAAATTGTAGGAAACACTCATGATACTGATGCAGGTGGGCCCTATGTGGAGAAAGACCTGGTTTGAGAAATATTATGAAAGGTTGATGTATCAGGAGAGGGTGACAGAGATGATGCTGCAAGAGGTGGGGGCAATGCGGTAGGAAGAGTAGAGTGGCATTTATGGTGCATAGTGGGTAGAGGGCTAAAATGAAAAAGCAGTGCAACCAGCAAGCATGGCCAGAGGTCCCAACGATAACTAAAGTAGTGCCTACTTCTCCACCATCACCTCCAGCCTCTCCCTGCCCAGCAACTCCTATGGTCTTGCAACTTCCCGTATGTGTCTCTAAGGCTTCACACTTGCTGTCTTCCCCTTGAACGCCCTGGTCACCTTTCTTTGTCTGCCTCTTTTACTTAGGCTTCAAGACCCTCCTCAGGTGTGATCTCCTCTGGAACAGTATTTTTTTTTTTTTCTCTCTCTTTTTCTGTTAAGATCTTAGCTGTAGGGCACATACACTTGCCAGAGAGACAGAGAGAGAAAGAGAGACAGAAAGCGAGAAATCACCTTCTAGGAAGGATGGCTTTGTCACAATCCTTTCTCCTCCATTCTCTTCTCGGGATTTTGGGCATGTATGCACATGTACCCAGTGTGTTTTAAGCTGCCGGGTCTGGGAGTCAAACCACAGTCGACTACATGGGAGTACAACAACATAACTATTATGCCATCTGCTGGTCCTGGAACAGTGTTTCTCAGACTCTAAATGTGCCTATGAATCAATGGAGGAATCTTACAAACACGAATTAGGTCACTGAGAAAGTCATGACATATTTTTCTATGCAAAAATGCATCATGACTTTCCTGATGATCCAATTGATGCTGACCCAGCAGGTCTGCAACGGGGCCCAAGACTCTACAGAAGCTGCAGGTCTCTGCTCTATACTCTGAATAGCAAGCCCCTAGGAAAACCCTGACCTCCCACCTCTGAGTTTGATAACTGTGATGATTGGAATTATTCATCATCAAGGATTTACTTTCTTCTCTCTTCCACTGTGGGTGGAATATATTTCCCCACACTACTGGTGCTGAATTTGGCTATGAGTCTTGCATTGACTAATGGGGTGTTCACTGACTTGATTCATGTGAAGGCTTGAAATGGGCTTACTCTCTTGCACTTCCACCAGGACCATGAAAACATGTTCTGGATAGCTGCTGGGCCTGAAGGAATGAAAGACATGTGTGTCAGGAACCAGCAGTTAGCATAATGGCTATGTCGCTGGATTCCCATGTAGTCGACCGCAGTTCGTGTCCCAGACCCGGCGGCTTAAAACTCACGCCAGGCGCGTGTGTATGCGTGCCCAAGATCCCAAGAGGCGAATGAGGAGAAGTGATTGCGGCATGACCATCCCCCCTGGGGGGTGATTTCTCTCTTTCTGCCTCTCTGTCTCGCGCTCTGTCTCTCTGGGGAGCACACGTGCCCTATAGCAAAAAACCTCTCAAAAAAAAAAAAAAAAAGACATGTGTGTCAGAGCCACCTCAGCTCCTGAAAACCTTGCAGCCCGCAGCTTGAAGCAGACCAGCCTCAGCTGAGTATGATCATAAGCACTTGTGACTGTGTGCCTCTGCATTGTGGGATCATTTGTTGCACAGCAGTAGCTGACTGATACATTGCCTCTCTCTGTGCTCTCATTACCCATCAATGCTCACCCCACTATCACCCTAAGAAAGCTTATAATGACCCATTTACTCTCTAAAATCTTCACCTGACTATACATTCAGCGTGGGCAGAAATTTGATTCGTCTCATTCTTTTTACCTAAAATTCCTGGCATGTGGCAGGAGTTCGTAACTACTGGATGAATAAATCAAAGAAAGAAAGAATGAGTCAATGAATGTAGATTACTCCAACTCCTCTGCTGACCTTGAGTTCTTCCAATGACATTTTCTGTCTTTCTTTTCAAAAGATCACTTCAACTGTAGCCAGAGTAAGTTTTTATTATCTGTGCAAATCAAATAAACCTTAAGTAATATGCATGAGTTCAGCACTTAATTTACTAAGCACTTCCGCTTGCCTTTGGTTTATTTCACATTCACAGCAGACTTGTGATGTATTGTTTCTTTCCCCGGCAGGGAGGACCAAGGACCATACAGGCCAATGAATTGCTCTCGGCTCCTGCCCAGCCGGTGATCTGATGGAGACTCGCACCTGCATCTCTGCTTCTGGTCCAGGTCTTCTTTGACCCTTCAGCAGCCCCCCTTCCCAGGGGTCCTGTCCCTCACTGGAATGAGCTGGGGTCCTTTCTTGAGAATGAATGTATGTGTAGAATTTGAGTCTAGTTTTCTCTCCAGGAATGTCTTTGTCCCCTGGGGTGCAGGGGAATAGAGTGTTACTTTTTTATGGCCAGGAAAACATTAATGAAAAATGAACCATCAGTGAAATTAATTTAAAAGATTTATGCATTCACGGTGACTAACAAGCCTGCACCTGCTCATTTGACACCCTTTAACAGCTCCCCCTCACCCCCCCTTCCTGCCCTCTTAAAATTCTCCCCCTTCCCTGAAGACACCTGGCTGGTGTGCTGAGCAGTTAAATAAACGTACAGCAGGGTAGAGACACGGCTTGTTAATTAAAAATGCAGCTCTGCCACTTGGAAGTTATGCAGAGACGGGCCAGACTGAGCAGAAAGAGCTGCCATCGAGGAGATGCTGCTTGGATTTTTATGTGCCCCGTAAAAGGGCCCTGGAGTAACGGGACGAGACAGACAACCATCGGCTTTCTCACTGAGCTCCCTGCACCTTTCCACACAGGATCATCTTCTCTCTGGGCCTGACCTCCCTTCGTCTCTGCTGCAGGGTGGGCACCTTCCCTGGATAAACGCACAAGAGCGTCCTCCTCTCTACCTTCCCCATCCATCCACTGTCACAGGCCCAGCATCTTTCTCTCTGTGACACTGACCCTAAATAATCTGTCATGGTTTCCTTGTGCACGTTGATGGATGAAGCCTCCCAGAGATTGCCTTGGACTCCTCCTAGCTGGCAGCTCTCTCAGATGTGAGAAACTTGCCTGTTGGAATTTCTTGGTAAGAAGCTACAGAGGGGGGCCGGCAAGTGTTGTGGTGGTTAGGAGCACTGGACTCCCACGTGGCTGACAATGGTTCGAGTCCTGTACCTAGCAACTTGCTTTCTCACTTTCCTTCTTTCTTCCTCTCACTCTGTCCCTCTACGGTTAAATTAAAATAAATACATAAATAAATAAAGTTAAATAAAATAATTCTTTAAAAAAAAAAAGGAAACTGCAGATGTATATAAAGTTTGGGTTTGTGATGACAGGGCTTGCTCCCAGCTTTCTCTGCATTCTTCACTCATATTCACTTGTAAGCATCAGCAATGGGAAACTCTTTATAGATTTGAGAATGTACTAGACTTTCTTACCCCCTAGATTTTAAATGACCATTTTGCCCTGGATATGCTCTCTATGTCATCCTCTCCTCTTTCTTTAAAAACCTACATTGAGGCACATTGAGGCACGATACACATGCAGTAGGTGTTAAGTGTGAGTACTTTGCATGCAGATGCATTGGTAGGGCGTAAACCCAGGAGTGGCATTGCTGGGTGATAGGGTGTGTGTGTTTAACTTTGTAAGAAACTTATAAACAGACTACCAGAGGGCCACCACGGCTGTGAGAACACAAGCTCCTGTTTGAGCCATGCAGCCTGTGGTAGTGTCATAGCAGCCCAAACTGACAGACAGAAGAGCTTCTGGGGGCCATCACGTCTGAGCTGACACGTGAAAGACAGGCACTAGCCAGTCAAAAGCGAAGAAGGACCACTAGACTCCCACCAGAATGACTAGAATTAAAGCCTAACGCCAAATACTGGCAAACACTTGGAGCAACTGGGACTCTCATAGCCCGCTGGTGGTGCAAGCCCTCTGGTAGTCTCAAAGTTTGAGAGCAGAGCGCCAGCACGCTGGGTCTGGCGAGGGCCCTCTTCCTGGCTTGTGGATGGACACCTCCTCTCTGTGTCCTACAGGGCAGAGAGGGGAGAGAGAGAGAGAGAGAGAGGAGAGGGAGAGAGAGGAGAGAGAGGGAGAGAGAGAGAGAGAAGCTCTGGCATCTCTTCTTGTTTTAATGACACCAACTCCACCATGAGGACCCACCCCCATGACCCCATCTAAATCTCATTTACCTCCTGGAGGTAATGGAGGTGACGGTCACACTGGAGGTTAGGGCTCTGAGGTGTGCACTTTGAGGGGACGCGAGGATTCAGCCTGGACCGTCTTCCACTCCCTTTACCCTGGTCGGGGGAGTTCCCCAATACCCCTCTACCGTAGTTCTGATCTGGCCGAAACGTAATTGCTGACGTGCGGCTGTTCCCAGTAGACCGGGGCCCTCTAGAGCAGGATCATGTGCTCATGAGCACAGTACCTGGGGTGCAATTGGTGCCCGGGCTGCTCACGGTCTGCCGAGTTGCCTCAGTGGGTGTCCTCCAGTGCAAGGCCACAGCTCAGTGGATCAGTCCCTTTACCTGCCCCAAGGCCCCTAGTGGCTGGAGGATCTTGTGGCCCAGACCTGTCCCCAGCAAGAAGGGCAGGACTTGCTTCCCAAGGTCTTCAGCTGTTGCCAAATGCTCCCAGCTGCCACACTTCCAGAGCTGGCTGAAAGCAACCACCCTTTCAGTCTTTGCTAAAGACGGTGATGTTTGTGGCCAGCCTCATCCTGCCTCCTGTCTCCATGCAGGCACCATCAGAACCCAAGCTGAAGGCACAGGGTGGTGATACAGAACAATGCCATGTTACTTGGTGTGGGCTGAGAGGGGAGGTCACCACACACACACACACACACACACACACACACACACACACGGCTATGAGAGGTAGCATTTATGTTGATCAGCTTAGTTGTGGTGACCTTTTCCTACATCTACACCCTATATCCAAACATCAGGATGTACATCTTACATCTAAGTCACCCTTCTCCCCTGGTCTGTACCTCTCCTGATCTGACCCCAGCTCCAATCCATCCTCTATGTCCTCAGGAACTCTGTCTTGTATCTTTTTTAATTATTTAATTTTTTTTTTTTTACATCTAATCACTGTACATCTTTACAGAGCACAAAATGGTTTTCCCAGCATGAATGCCGTGCATATCAGTCAAGTCAAAGATATTACCATATACATTATCATCAACAGATAACTTTTCATTCATGTGTCTGTTAAATGTTTTTGTTTTCCTGATCCTCTCCCTCCAACCCTCACTACCCACCCCTCCTGCCCTGTCTCTGGTATCTATAGTCACCTCCCCTGCTATCAGAACTCAGTCTTTTTTTTTTTTTAATTTTTTTTTAAGTTTTTTTCCAGAGGGCACATGCACTTACTGAGAGACAGAGAGAGGAAAAGTAGGCAATCATTCCCCCAAGGAGGGATGGCCATGCCTTCTCCTCCATTCTCCTCCTGGGACTCTGGGCACTCACAGACACACACGTGTCCAGTGTGATTTCCAAGCTGCTGGGTCTGGGATTCAAACCATGGTTGGCCATGTGGAAGTCCAGTGCCTTAACCACTACGCCACCTGCTGGCCCCAGAACTCAGTCTTTATCCTTTACCCCCACTCACTATCCTTAGACTACTCTCTGATTGTCCGTCCTACCTATCTTCTCTCCTTGAAATTAGGCTGATCTCAATAACCCAGCTTCCTGTTTTGTAAAAGAATGTTTATTTATTTCCTGAGAGAGAGAGAGAGAGGAAAAGAGACAGTACCCTCGACAGGGCCCCGACACCACAGCCCACTGACACCCTTTAGGAAATCCTGGATCAGGGGCACATGTGGGCCCTGCATACTAGGGAGGTGTCCAGACTTGAACTGGGAACCTTCCCATGTGGGGTTGTCTCAGAGAGAACTGTGCTTTATTGCCATAACCGACATCTGGTCCCCTAGCTTCCTGCTTAGCTTCTCAACTAAATCCAGTTTTTTCCCCACGTCCCATGTTGCTGGGTACTAGAGGAGGGAAGAAGGGGTACAGACCTGCATTCACCCCATTCTCCTCCCAGGCTTTTATTCTCTCCCTCCTCACAAGCCTCAGCTCCTTTAAAGCTTTTGTCACTGACTGCTGCCACCTCCCAGCACTCTTGCTGCTGTCACCTGTAGACTTCCTGGTCATTCCTCATTCTCTAATGACTTTACCTGTCTCACTGTCATCCCTGCTGCTATTCTTGGTGACTTTAATGTCCATTTAGATCAGAGACTCAATCCTGCTACTGAGTCACCCAGAGCCCCACCCGAGACCAATTAAATTGGAATCTGTAGAGTGGGACTCGGGAAATGGCATTAAAATACAATAGCTTCAGAAGACCCTTATGTGTCTTACACTCAATTCTTTGAGCTTCTTAGCTTCAAATCTTTTTCTATAGCCTGCCTCAGTCACTGATTTCCACAGGTGAACCCTAGACTTCACCGTCATCAATACACTTCAGTCTGTGGCCACCATCTTCTAGTCTTCCCATTTTTTCCACCCCCCCCCCAACTTCAACTAATTTTTTGATTCTTTATCACCATGTTCACATTCTCACTTTCCTCCATGGTCTGACTAACTTGGGTCTCACAAGCCTAACATGAGCTCTCAAGACTATTTAGTATGAGGGCCAACAGATGGTGTAGTGGTTATGTTGCTGGACTCCCACACGACCGACTGATGGGGTATTTGCAGGCCTTGTACCCCTTCTTCCCTCCTCTAGGGCCCTAGTTCCTGACCCGGTGACTTGAAAATCACACTGGGTGCTTGTGTGTGCATGCCCAAGATCCCAGGAGGAGAATGGAAAAGAAGGGATTATGGTGTGGTCATCCCCCCCACCCCCCCGGAGGTGATTTCTCATTTTCCCTCTCACTGTCTCTGTCTCTCTCTTTTTCCGGGTGAGTTCATGTGCCCTAAGGCAAAAACATCTTAAAAAATAAAAAAGAAGACTACTTAGCATGTCTCTCACTACTTTCTCTTGAATTGTCACATCTTCACTTCTTCAACTTCCGATACTGTTCATAGCCCTCCTCCACCCCACCAGCAGATGGCATTACTGCATATTTCATAGAGAAGATGATCTTAGATAAGAGCTACCTCCTCTTCTACCAACCAGTGATCTGCCCCCATCTTCTCTGCCTTCTATCACAATGAGTGATGTGCCTGTACTCCTCTCTAAGGTCAGCCCCTCTGCTTAACTCCTTTCTTATCATTGCCAGGTGTTTGTTTCTGCAGTTACCCTTTCTCCTACAGCATTGGTCTGTCTTCCTCTCCAGTCTATTTTTGTTGGCATCATGCCTTAACACAGCCCATCTACAAGGACATACTAGATCCTAGCCCCACCCCAATTTCTCTCAATTCCACATCCATTTCCAGTGAACATGATAGTTCCCATCTCAAAAGAAATGCTTATCTGCTGTATCTACCTCCTCATCTTTTCCACCCACCCCAGTAAGGCTTTGGCTTTTCCCGAAGTGAACCTCCACCTTGCTGGAGGCAGGGCTGATCTTCTGTCCTGATCCTCCCAGGACAGCGGCAGCATTTGAGGCTGTTGTTCATCGTTCCTCCTGGAAGCAGTCTTTTCTCTAGGCTTCCAAGACACTGCACTTGGTTTCTGCCTTCCGCGTTGGCCATCTCTCTTTGCTGGCTCCTCCTCCTGGACCTGCTCTGACTGTTGCCTCACACGGGACCCGGTACCCACTCATCCGGCATTGTCCTTCATGCCTCATCCAGGTCTTGTCTTACATGTCGTCTAGGTACCCATGGCTCCCAAATTTTACCTACAACATGAAACTTACAAATACAACTGTTTACTCCATGCCAATGTAATCAGCAACTCCGACTTAACATGGCCACACAGGAATTTGAATTCCTCATTTTGTCTGTTCCATATGTCCACATGTCATCCTTGTACCTGCAAAAGATGCTGCCCATGAAGTTGCATATGTCTCGAACCTAGAGGTCATCTTTGACTTCCCCTTCTTTTCTTCTTCTGCCAAGACATCCCTTTAGCAAATTCTTTTTACAATTTTATTATTTTTTTAATTAAAAAAAGTTTTTAAATGTTTGGCATAGGGCACATGTGCTCACTGGAGAGAGATAGAGAGGAAGAGTGAGAAATCACCTCT